GGATCTATTCTTTGTTCGTTGGTGCGTAAGATGTCGGGGAAAGAAGGTGCTTCGGGAGTCGAGGGTGGTTCTTCTGGCGTGAAGACTATTCAGAGTTTGAATATCCACTCTATGAAGATAGATGTGGAGAAATTTAATGGCACAAACAACTTTGGATTATGGAGATGCGAGGTTTTGGATGCGCTGAACGCGCAGAATTTGGAGGATACATTGGAGTTAGATGGCAAGCCAGATGAGATTGAAGAGAAGGTTTGGAAGAAGATGAATCGAACGGCGTGTGGTGTGATTAGGTCTTGTTTGACTCAAGATCTAAAATATGATGTGATGAATGAGACTTCTGCGAAGAAGATTTGGGAGATTCTCGAAAGCAAGTATTTGACCAAGAGTGTGGAAAATCGCTTGCATTTGAAGAGGAGACTTTATCGTTTCCAGTTGAAGAAGGGAACCTCCATTAGAGATCACATGAACCACTACACAAAGCTTCTTGCGGATTTGGCGAATGTGGATGTCAAGATTGAAGATGAGGACAAGGCGTTGCTGTTGTTGAGTTCCTTGCCCGACGAGGAATATGAGACCTTCGTTCTTACTCTGATTAATGGGAAGGCATCACTTTCGTATAGTGAGGTCACCGCTGCACTTGTGAATTATCAGCTTCGAAAGAAGGATAAGGAGGCTTCGGTTGAGCCGGTAGCGGAGGCGTTGGTCGCAAGAGGGAAGGGTCCAAACCGAAAGAATTGGAAGTCACAGTCTAGAGTAGGAAAAGATCAGTGTGCTTGGTGCAAGGAGACTGGTCATTGGAAGAAAGACTGCCCAAAGCTCGACGAATGGATGAAGAATAAGCAGAAGGGAAAAGGGAAGCAACCATCATCAGAAGCAAACATCGTATCGGATGGTAATAATTCTGACTCTTCTATTTATTCGCTTTCTATCAGTCCTACAGATAGCTATTCGGAGGAATCTGAATGGATGTTGGATAGTGGTGCGACCTATCATGTGTGCCCTAGAAGGGAATGGTTCTCCAGTTTTGAGAAGCTGGTGGATAGTGGTGTGGTGTACATGGCTGATAACCGTGCATGCCAGATCCTTGGGATAGGAAGAATTCGCATAAAGATGTTTGACGGGACTGTTAGAGAGTTAAACGATGTGAGATATGTTTCTTTTTTGAGGAAGAACTTGATCTCGATTGGAGCTTTGGTTGGAGAGGGTCTGAAGGTTCGTGTTGAGGACATGGTTCTCGAGATTGCGAGAGACTCTCGTATTTTGATGAAGGGCGTCAGGAGAAATAACCTGTATTACTTGACTGGAGGTATAGTGGCAGGTGGAGAACTGGTGACTTCTATTGATTCGTCTAGACTGCGGCATTTGGGGCTTGGCCATTCCAGTATTGATTCCTCGCATAAATTGAAAGAGGGTGTAAAGACCTGCAAATTAAAGTCCAGTGAACATGTTGATGTGAGCAAGAAGACCGAGGTGAAGTTTGGCACCTCTATTCACCGTGCTAAGGGTCGTTCTAGAGGAGTTTTCTGGAGGAGTTCACGTGGATGTTTGGGGGCCTTCCAAGGGGGCATCATTGGGAGGTAATAGGCGTTTGGTTTCCTTTGTTGGTGACTGTTCTAGGCGTGTTTGGGTTGCAACCAAATCCCCTTTGGAGAAAGTCCTAGTAGTATCCAACAGATTGAAGAAGTGTGTGATAGACAGGAAGGTACTCCATTCTGGTTTTGATAGGAGGTACAAGATGGACCTATTTCTGTATTGGAGCCGAGCTCACGGCATTTCGAGACACTTCGTTGGAAAGGAAATCTTGGGGCAACTAGATAGGGTGACAAATTTGGAAGACCGTACCGGATCGGTGTTTGTGGTCGAGCAATGGTTTGTAGAAGAGTTTCTGGACAGAGGCTTCGACATATTTGGGTCATCCTATTAAAGAGTTGTCAACTGCTGTGATTGGAGGTAAAACTCCATTGGAAGATAGGTCTGGTGGTGTCACTTTGATTGAGGCTTCGATGATGAAGCCAATTGATTCTCAGCAGGTGGAGAGTTTTGGACAGACCTTAGAGGTATCGCAACGGGTGGAGAGTGATGCTACTCCACATTGGATGAAGATTACTCCAGGTCATTCTGCATTGGTTGGGATTACAGATGAGGTGACACAGCGTGGAAGTCATTTGGATTCGGATGCAGATGATGAGTTGGGTTTTGAATCGAGTGCAGCTGGCAGACATAGTTTGGATATGGCCATTGGTTCGCCTCAGGTTGAGGTGTTTGAGACCATTGGAGGTGCTATCAGCCACAGAGTTGATGATATTGGAGAAGGGTTGCGAACTCTTCTAGTGGATTGAGGTCGTTCGCGGCCATTTGGGTGAACTACGTTCGGCTTGATTCCTTGGGCAAGAGGATACGTAGGCAGTCTTATGATGCGCCGGGGTTGGATGTGATGGGGGTGAGATCGATTTGGGGTGAGTAGATACCGACGTTTGGAGAGTGTTTGCACTCTCATTTGGTTCTCGACTTCTATGATGAGTCCGGGTCTCGTGAATTCGTTTCACTTCGTACTGCGGACACAACAAGTGAGACATTTGTTTTGGTTTGGGTCGGCTCAGTTTGCAGAAAAACTTCGCCCGAGGTGGAGAATTGTGGATAGCGACGCGTGATGGCTAAGGAGCTGAAAAAGGAAAACGTTGTTGAGTTGATGAGGCCGGTTTTCAACCAGCCCACACGGTTTCAAGCAGTGGGGGCCACAAGTCTTTTGCTGCCGGAGAAGTCCAGCAGGCTATGAGTTCTTTGTTTGAGGATTTGTTCAGCAGAAATTTGTTGTGGCCCACCCGACATTTGAGTTGCAGGCTATAAAATCTGTCGTGAGGGTTCGTGAAAGGGAGTGAAGGAGTTTTTTAGCTGCGCGGCATACCAAACGTGCCCAAAAAGGGTGCGACGACTGCTGTTGTGAAGGCAGGGGACGGTGCTTGCGTACTGCCTGCGTAGAAGTTTGGTGGTTGAAAAGGCAGAGGCGGCGCTGCCAAAGGTGCAGCCACCCTTCGTGCAGAGAGAATAAAAGTTCTTGGCTGGGCTGCCTTTCTCGTGAAGAAAAGCAAAGGAGCCTATTTGAGGATTTAGATTTGTGATGAATTGTAAACCTATTTGTATTCTTTTCTCTCTAATATAGATCCCTCCCTTGCCCGTGGACGTAGGCCAGTTTGCCCGAACCCACTCGCTAAAAATTGGTTGTCTTGGTTTGTGCCATTGTAATAGTTTTTAGGACTCCCTCGACAGGTCAGTCTAGAACTGATGAGAGGAAGAGCCGATATCTCACTTGTTGAGATATCCTCCCTTCAGATTCTTGATTTCCTTAGTGAGACGGGAATCTTATCGTAATCTTTCTTCTCTTATGCTGCCACCAGAAACTCTGCCCGAAATTTCCGGCCTGCGCACAACAATATTATATATATATATATTATATATATATATATATATAGTATATAATATAATATATATATATATATATAATATAGAGTAAACTATGATGATTGTCAAATCGCATGATGAGAGAGCTAGAGAAGATGAAGAGGATGAAAGTACGGTACTGATTCAACAAAGAGGAAAAAGGGAAGAGTTAATATCCTAAACAGAAGTCTATAATCTATATGCCATGCACTATAGAGAATAAAATTAATAAACTGATCTAAAAAGCTTTAAAATATAGGAGAAATAGGATGAAAGACCGAGCAATATATATACATTATGGAGTTAATATTAATGATCTTAAAAGGCTCAACAATATCATGATGGAGTCAATATATACATTATGGAGTTAATATTGATATAGGAGAAATAGGATGAAAGACCGAGCAATATATACATTTGGATACCTAACCCTCTCAATTTTTTTTTTGGTCAATGAAAAACTTTTATTCATTTCCCAAATGTGAAACATTTACATGCATCTAGATTCTCAGATTTTTGAGAATTCAAACAGAAAACAACAACTTGAACTTCTATGCTATAACAACAGAAACTTCAATGCCTATACAAACTTAAAATGAACTAATCCAATCATCTATACTTCTAGCAATGTTTGGAGAGTTTAGGCATATAGTTAGAATGTCGACTTTGATTCTCTTAACCAGACTCTCCCCAGACTTGAAACTCTTCTGAAAAATCCTCATATTCCGCTCATACCATAGATGATATATAGTAGCTGATAAAGTTGATCTCTTGATATTTTGTTTTATGCCTTTCTTTCTTAACTTTGTACAATACCAGTTCAAGAGGAAAATTCCAAGAACATGATCTCCATTTGAAATGAAGTCAATCTATGATTTGATTCCATACTTCCTTGGAGAAGGAGCACTCAAAAAATAGATGATCAACCCTCCCACTTTTACTTGCAAATATATATATGAATATGAACATATATACAAAAACTCCCATATTTCTAAAACAAGGAGAGAGATTTATAATCAACGAAATAGAACATCAATTTGTATACTCATCCTTCCAACAATTCCTTCCCTTCCTCATTGAATGGAATTATGTTTTGAAAATTTCAACCATATGATTACAATATTATGTATCAACTATAAATATCATGTATATTTTTCAGTATTCATCCTAGGTAGGATGAAACAACGTTATATCAAACACACAAAAAGCTAAAACTTGTTGAATTCTCTATGGAGTAAATTATGATTAGTTCATTAATAGAGAAGAAAGACAACTCAAATGTATCCAAATATACCCAAAATCATAAACATCACCGTGTTGGAACAATAAAATCATGTACATTAAAACATGATTAGGCTGAATTCACAAAGTAATGCACCATCAATATTCCTCCCATTTCCCAGAAACCATATTCATGTATAAAATGTTCCGTAATTTACTGCAACATTTTCATAAAAACAAACCAGAACTAAACAAAATGATACAAAATGAAAATCATAAAACACCATGCACCATGCAATAGTAATAAGCATAATTATATATAAACCTAACTATACCTACCTCTACATCAAAGAACTGTTAATGATCCCCTGCCAATTATACCCACCACCTCCACTCCAATAATCTCTTGCAGAATCAACCCCCACATTACCATTATTGGCATCATTAAGCTGCCATTGATGCCCCATCATCATCATCTTGTTGTCATGATCTCCTGTCTCTGATACAGCAGTAGTTGTGGTCGTCGTCGCTGTTGAGCTCAAACCCAAACCCCCATCAAACCCATAGCTACACAGATTGCTAAACCCTTCGGGGTTTGCAGAATCAAGAAACCCACTTCTCAAAATATCCAGAAAATTAGGGTTAGGGTTAGGGTTTGGGCCCAAAAGTAAAGGAGCAAGAGTGAGGTCATGACTAGGCGCAGCATAAGAGAGCAAAGGATTACTGGTCATCGAACTGGATGCGGTTAGGGCTTGAGGGGTACTTTCAGGTTTTTTCGACGACGAGGAGGATCTCTTGTTCTTGCGGCACGGCAGCCCTTGCAGAAGTAGCGGGGCTGGGACAGGCTGTAGTTGTTGTAGTAGCAGAACTTGGTGTTGGTTGAGTCGCAGCGAGGGCATTTCAGGGATTGCTCAGGGTGTGGCCTGCTTGGTTTCCTTTCTTGGCTTTGGTCGGATTTATTTGAGGTTGAGGATAGCATAACCTGTTCCATTAGTGCTGCTTGATTGTTGGCCATCGCCTGTGACAATGAGGAGAGAAATTGTTCAGGATGCATGAAGATAATGACTATTAATCAAACCTTTTTTTTTAACTTTAATTGCTTAATTATTAACTCCTTGTTATGTTGATTTCCAAGGATCAAAGAGGTTAACCTTAGTTAAAGGTCAAAACTGCAAGAAAAGTATATAATGGTTAAGGAAAATTAATTCTAACTGTCCTTGTGCATAGATTGGTGGAATGTAAGAGAGATCTTGAATTGAAACATTAGACTTATAATTGAATAAAAGAAGGCAATATATGAGTGATCATTGAAAGTAATTAAAGTTGATTGTTCGCAAGAAATGCAAATTGAGGGAAGTTCAAAAGGAAGAACTAAAGTCTATATATATAGGATTATGAGCTCCAAGCATGCAGTAAAGTCATTGGCAGAAAATATAGTAATAAAGAAATTGAATGAAATTTTACACAGTATAGGTACAAGAAAAATAAAGATACATAACATGGACAACTAATTGTTAGGGTTTTAGATTTATGTGATCAATGATAAAAATATATTTTATAGAAATGGAATTAGAGCTACAAGAGAGAGGAAAAAAAAACTATATATTAGAAGACATAATTAAATTGGATGAAATTTTATTTACTACAAGAAAATCAATGATAATATGGGCATCTTGATGAAGATTATTATTAAATTCCCATTGTAAGGTTGAATGAAATTTGAGAAGATGGAGCAAAAGTTGAAAGAGGATTGGAATCTACTAACAATAAAGCGCATGAGAAGACATAACTAAAGATAAATAAATTTAAATCGTTGAGATCTGTTCTTATATATAGGATTCAGATCCGTACACTTTACTCTTCCGTGTTTAGTACTATAAGATCAAACTGCAACACTAATTAAGTAAGAAATAGTTCACTTATTTTACCTAAAAAGAAGGAACAATTCACTTCTTTTGAAATTTGGTGATTCCATTAATTTTTACTCAAACAAAAATGGTGAATATATGATTCTAGCTTTCTACTAAAAGCCCTCAAGGGATAACAAATTGAGAGAGTGCAAATTAATTAGGTAGTCACATTTTTTATAATTTGATATTTCTTTAATTTATAGAAAAAGGGTAATATTAGACACTATAAGTCTTTAAAAAAACTATAAGTGAAACTATGATAAAATGAGTAAGATAATTAACAGGTACATAAGAAATCATGTTTTAAAAAAAAAGTTAAAAGAGTGTGTGTGTTAGCCAATTAAGAACAACTTTACTCAGACAAAAAAAAAGAAAAATAAAGCGAGGAAAGGGGGAAGAACCAAGAACAGTGTCATTAACTAAAGATCTCTATATCTCACAAGGAGGAAAGATCTAACATATTTTGCTTTACCCTGATGGACACTAGAAATCTCCATCCATGCAAACTTCAAGTAACCACTAACAATAAGAATGCAACCCAAGATTTATACCTCTCCTTCTCTCTCTAAAACAGTTTCCAAAAAGAGAGCTGAGCTGATCTTCTCACTTCCCTCTCGGGCGAATAAAAGAATGTGATTGTAGAGAGAGAAAGAAGAGAGAGAGAGAGAGAGATGATTACTTTGTGTACGAAGCGATCGATGCGTTTGGCTTGCACGCAGAGAAAGCATGGAGAGCTTATTAGCTTAAGCCTAGCGAACTCCAGACCAACGAACTCATGAGAAGCACGAGACCCCACTGGGTCCCATATCTCGCGTGGACCGCAACAACTCTGACGCTGGGTCCCACCTTAACGTGATCCGAACCCGATCCAAATTCGAATTCACTTGAGAACAGTAGTAGCGTAGATGCTATTCTTTTAACAACTACGCAAACGTTGAGTTTGCATTTTACAGTGAAGTGCAGATACTCAAAATGACAGATTTTGGGCTAATTTTCTATAGTGAATACTGCATTCAACATTTTCTCGTGTTGATCCAGGGAAAACCTAATAAATTGAGTCTGCAAGATTAATTAATTGAAGGTGGTCGATGTAGAGGGCTCTTTGATCTCCTTAGATGGCTGACGGTGATCTGATTTTGCTGTAGTATGTGCAACATAAAGAAAATGTCAGATTAACGATGGTGGGCTGTCCTCCACCAACACCTCTATGATTCCTAAGTAAAACTCTTGATGATAAATGTCAAAACAATAGGTAAGTTGGTTAGGGGTTTTGACTGTATATATGGTTCATCAACCAAGGTCTGTGTTACTGAGCTGAGTTTAAGACATGACCTCCCTTTACTTGAGGTATAGGCGGGCATACTTATACTAATTGCCCGAGTAGATCATGTGGTACATGTGTCATCATCCTATTAGTCAAGGTAGGTATGATTGATATTAACTTGGTGGGCGGGCAAGTAAGTCCGTATGTCAAGACCTCATTGGTGGAATAAGGTTCCTCTGATATGTATTATGATAGGAGGGGTTATGAAATTAATATCGACATAGATCCATAGAGGACATATTCCCTTGGGTTGATTTGATTGATTCTTTGAGTACAAATGTGGTACATCAAGTCAAGAACAGCACAATATAAGCAATATTTGTTAAGTTAATAATCCCACTAATTCGGAGGGACAAGAAGTGCGCTTGGATGTTGACTGGTCAAACTTTAGTAGGCGTTGTCGGTCAAAGAAGAGATTGGTGCTAAAGAATTACAGGTAGGCATGCAGGAGAGCTACTTTTGCTTTGTAGACCAAACTGATCTACAGGGTCTAGATATGCGCGCGTATTGAATCCATTGATATAGAAGCATTCTGTTTTTTTATTATCTTGCACAATCAATCAAAGAATGAAACCTTGTGGTTTTGTGTCACTGTGAACAATAAAGAAAAGCTCCAACAAGGTCGCATTCTGATCGGACGAGCACTAGCGTCCTTAGCTTTATTGCCTGAGGATAAAGTCACCTAAAATGGTGAGCTTACCTCCACAGCTACCAACCATGTGAATAAATATGTGATCTCATGAATCATATATATTCACCGAGGCCATAGTAATTTCGTCTTTGTTTCTATAAGCCTCCTTAACATTACCCGTGTTTATTTTGCTAGATGTATAACATATTAACCGCCTTATAATTTCTTGCTCATATTACAATTCCGGTATTTCCACGGTGGAAAACCCATCATTTCTGGTATTTCTTACTGTAGAAACAGCGAAAACATTGGAGAAGATCAGGAAAAATAAAGCTGACAGGCATTCGGGTGCTCTCCGGTCGATCGCGAGCTTTGGCACGGTCGACCGGCAACGTGCACGACTTAGTACAGATTCTGGATTTTGGCCGGTCGACCGCGACGATTTCGGCGGTCAACCGCCAGACACAGTAATTGAATTTTGGGTTCTGTCGTTTTGTCCGGTCGACCGCGGCGTCAAGTGCGGTCGACCGCGATTCAGGTTTGGACCTGATTTCGTTTTCCTGTTTGGTTTGGGTTTGCTGCTTGATATAAATTCAAACACATGTTTTAGGGTTAAATTTTCTGGAGCAGTATTAGGGATATTTGGAGCACAGAAAAGATGTATTTTCTGGAGCTATTGGTTAGAGTTATTGTTTGAGAAATTGAGAGCTTTGTTGGTGAGATTAGTTGGTTTGTTTTGAGTGATTTGTAGTCTTAGTTTGTACTCTCTTTTTTATTAGTGAAAACACATCCACTTCTTGCCCCGTGGACGTAGGAAACTTGCCGAACCATGTAAAATTAGTTGTTTGTGTTTGTGTCGTTATTTTGCACTGTTTGGCTTTCTCTCTCGATGTTTGGTTTGGTTCCTCAAAGCATAACGATTGGTGGCTTCCGCGCACAACAAGTGGTATCAGAGCTTGGGCTACGCTCGGGCTAGTTGGAGGAGTAGATCACTTTGGGGAATAAGGGTGTAGGCATCTAAAAACACTTATAGATATCTAGATATAGCTCAAAACAAAGAGAAGATAATGAATGTTATTATCTAAGTCAAAGAGGATCATCCAAAGCTAAAATAAGCAAAGGAACACTGACGCGCATAGGCGCGGCAGTGGAAGGTGACGCGTAAATAAACAGAGTGAAGCGCCAATGAGAAGTTGTATATCTCTTTGTTAGCTTTCCAACGCATTTTGGATCACCTCATTCCGACATCGGACGAGGAAGTTAGAGCCAAAATACCCGAGAGGTCGTAAACTGCCTCGGAGGTGCGCGGCAATGTACACTGACGCGCATAGGCACGACAGTGGAAAGTGACGTACAAATAAACAGAGTGAAGTACCAATGGGAAGTTGTAGATCTCTTTGTTAGATTTCCAACGCATCTTGGATCACCTTATTCCGACATCGGACGAGGAAGTTAGAGCCAAAATACCCGAGATAGCGCGAACGGTCTCGGAGGTGCGCGCGTCAGCAGCGACTGCCGTGGAAATGTATTTCACATTTAAGCCATGATATGATCCAAATATGAAGAAGCTCAAAAGACAAAAGTTGTAGATCTCTTCGTCATCTTTCCAACGCATCTTGGATTACCTTATTCCGACATCGAACGAGAAAGTTAGAGCCAAAATACACAGGAGGTGCGCGGCAGTGGTAACTGCCGCGGCAATGCACGCCACCACCTACTGCCGCGGCCATTGAGAAGCTGAACACGTCATTTTTGACAGTTTTCTCGAGTTTTATACGGTCCACATGGCTTATTAACTGCTGGGGGTTACTTATGAACGTGGGGGAAATAATTACAAGCGAAAATCATGTCCACTACCCACGAAAATCGTGACATTTAAGGAGTTAAAAGTCGTGGGATGGCGGTTACAAAACAGGGGGGAACCACTCCTTTGACCGCGCCAGTAACGACTACCGCGTCAAAGGAATCTCTTCAGCCGCGCCACCTATGGCTGCCTCGCCCAAAGGAGTAGTTGCTGATCGGTTATTTTCTCCA